AGGAAGGGACTAAGGCTGGGTTAGCTTTAATACCAAATGGTATCGGACAAAAACCTAAACCACTGCTCAAAATTGCAACAATTATTACGGGACGCCACAAGGTTACAATGACAACTTTTTAACAGAAAATAACATAGCACAGGTAAACAGTAAACGACAATGACTGTTGAAATTAAGAAAAAAGCAATAACATAAAACAGAAACACCCTCTGCCACGGATACGACATGGCCGAGGGTGGAACAGTGGTGTTGGTGGTCGCGGGAAACAGACCGAGAAGGTTGGTGGCTGCTAGGAGGAGTCGAACAGGTGGCCTGAAGGTGTTGGAGAGGAACGACGGCCTTCTGGAAATGAACCGGAGCCGGAGGGGACAACAAAGTCGGCAGGCTGCTAAGAGGGTCGGTCAGGGGCAGGAGGAGCTGGAAGGGTTGCTTGTAGGTGGTTGATGAGGAAGACAACAGCTGAACAGAGTTTTGAGGGAAGGAGTAGGGCTGGTAGCAGTGGAAAAGGGGCTGCGGTGGCTGGCAGCAGTGGAAGAGGGGGATGTGGCAGGGAAACAGAAGCATGATAACATAGATGTCTTGTCGGGGTCGAGCTACAGCCAGAGCATCACTCGGATAAGGGATAGTCAGAGCACTTCCTCGCCCTCAGATACAGCCCTTGAAGGGAACAACACAAGCGCAAGCGGCAGTAATCTGAATTCAGAAATCTCTTAACTCCAAAAACTGATAAACTCCAAGCATGCCACCTCTTATTTATGATAAGGCTTAGGATTTATTTTTAGGGAATGTTTTAAAATAAGGAAGAGAACAAAAATAATAAGAATTCACAATTTAGGCAATGTTTATAATAGGAAGAATTCAGAATAAGGAAAGAACAAATAAAAATAATAGAAATTTTGAATTGGCCAGTGCTAGGAAGGAAATATGGGAAAAGGAACGAGGGAATAGGAGAAAAAGAAAAGGAAGGGAGAGCATGGGCGGTAGACCCCACCCCACTCCCCAACCCCTTGAGGACCAGTGGGTCAAGCCAAGCTAGACTGAGATCAGGTCGGGCCCCATAGCCCTGCGTTAAAAATCAAATTTGCACCCACCACATCAAGGCCAACATTGGTAGCCCTGACCACAACCACAGCTTTGGCAGCATCGATCATCATTCCCACAACTTTCAATGGTCTTAGCCATGAGTACAAGGATCTCATCTCAACAGTCAACACTAAAGACTAACACGATAATTTCATGAAAACCTCTCTAGTTAGAGATCAATCTACATAACAGTTCTAAGATGTAACTAATCCATCAACTAACAAACACAACTCTCAAAAATCAAATTTGCACCCACCACATCAAGGTTAGTGTTGGCAGCCCTGTCCATAGCCCCAACCTTCGCAGCCTTGATCATCATCCCCACAACTTTCATACATTTTATCAAAATGTGAAGCACAATCACCATCGAGCACTAAGGTCTCCTCCCAGATCATACCTTGTTACTTGACCAACTATTTGGTATTCAACATCACTAAACCAAGCACCCTGACACCATGTCACCTATCCACCACACAACTTTTTGATAGTTGTGTGTCATGTTATGTTATTATTGATTTGGAAACACTTACTCTTCATACACCATGCACTAGCTCTGCAACAACATGATTAGAGAATGCTTGGGTCTCTCCGTAACCCACACATGTTCCACTTCACATACCACTAATCAAAACCATATGAGATACTAGTAAATATGAAATCTATAAGTGACCAACTATGTCTAATTCCAAATCCCATGCTTCAGTTATTGTATATAATGTTAAAAATGTTTTATCCAAGTAGCAACATTATCTATTTCATCTTCCTTCCAAGATCCTCAAATATCCAAATTCAAATAAACATTTTGATATATCCAATACATCATTATTTAATTTTAAATGTATCTCATGCCAATGCAATAAAAGTCACAAGCTTCTTTCTCTACATCTATAATGACCTCATATACAACACTTCAATTTTTTTTTTCCGATGTTTGGCCCTCCACAATACAAATATTATGTTATATTTGTTTTTCACTTCATTTAATACATTTAATTATATACATTTTAAAAAATTCCAAAAACAAAGTTTTTTACCAACTAGTGAAAACATCTTTCACCATAAAATTATCACTCTTCACTTCAACTATGGCGAGAAACATACAACTAGTGAAAACATCTTTCACCATAAAATTATCTCTTCACTTCAACTATGGCAAGAAACATTACGCTCATTGCCACTTTATCTAATCCCATGGGATCTCTCATCAAACCAGCCCACATCATACCCTAGAGCACAATGGATAAACTAAAGTTCATCATCACTATATAGTAAAAATGGGGATTTATCAACCTCCTCATGCATTTCATCCTATAAAAAATTAATCATATGCATTCCCCTATAGTTGTCTGTCATATAAATTGCATGCCCACTCCCACTCTCCAAGTTTAGCATCCTTTTGAGTTTTTTCTACCATCCCAGTAAATTCAAACTTTGCTGTTCCTTTTTTTTTCTTCATTATCAAATTATCGGTCCTTACTCTCCCAAAAATTAGCCCCACACAATTCCTTGTGTCTGTCCAAGGTAATCCCTCTCAAAAAGTGTTTCTCTCCACCAAGATTCAAAAAATCTCCACAATCTAGCCTTCTAAAAAGACAAATTTTACCAAAAATATCTTCCCCTTTACATTAGTCAATGTGTTTCTCTAGTCTAGGGACTAAAAATCTACATTCTTGTATCTCTTTGGGTCACAAGTTCGTCAACTTATAATGTTTCTTTCGCAACACTATTGCATGCACCATTTATGACCCTCATCAACCTCGCAACACAACTCAACTAATCCACCACCACTAACAACCTAAAAACCCATCAAGAACTAGTTATCAATGACCAAATAATGATTTACCCACAACCAGCCTAATTAAATAAGAAAATTATAATTACCAAAATAGCCCACTATCAAACACAGCCAACACCTACATGATCACCCAAGCTAAGAACAATGCCTATAAATCTAGATGGAAACTCAAACTCCTCATCCAACCATCTTTCAATCCTAACCTTAAACCCACATTTATCCCCAATCCATAAAAGGTTCTAATGGCATCCAGTCATTATGAAAATATTTATCCCCTTGTTGGAAATGACACCTAGAATATTCTCTCATCTACATCCACACACAATCATTGTCAACTGCAAATTGATATTTAGCACAACAACCATCTTTATCAATTGCAAATTGATTTTTAGCACAAAACATCATCTTAATGATTTAATTGATAAGTACAAAGCATGCCTAATGGCCAAGGGCTTCAAACAATATTCAGGGGTTGATTTCATGAAACATTTAACTCAATAATTAAAGCATGAAAAAGCATAATTTTTCCAGGCAAGGATGGTCTCTTTGCAACTTGTTGTGAATAATGCATTCCTCCATGGCCATCTCACGGGCAATTTCTATATGGATCAAATCCCAAGCTTTCTTGATCCAGATCACCCCACTCTTATTTGCATGCTTCAAACAGCCATCTATGAACTCAAACAAGTTCGCTATGCCCAAAACACAAAGTATTGTAAGATTCTTATAAACTCTGGCTATGTCAATTAGCAAGTCAACACTTTTTTAGTTGCTCTCAACAACAACAGCCAGCTTATTTAACTCCATGTATGTTGATGACATAATTCTAACCATCAATGATCCTAGAACTCTCCAATGGTATATTTATCTTCTGGTCGGCCAATTCTCAACAAAGGACCTCAGCCTTCTCACATTTTTTCTAGATTTGATGTTATTCAACATAGAGAAGGTAGCTTTTTCTCAAAATGTCATTACATTATCAAGCTACGTGAGCAAGTCCAAATGACTTAACTCAAATTCAACAAACAAGCCCGTCGCCACCAATCAAATTCCTAATAATAAGTCCAATGTTAGATTCTCAGATACATCTCAGTGTTTAATCATGGTTGAAAGTTTACAATATCTCACACTTTCCCACAATTGACCACAATCATGGTTAAAAGTTTAATTAGATTGAAATTTTTGTGAGCAAATTACTTTAATTCATGCAACACCCCACAATTGACCACACTACTATAATCTCACCTACAATTTCAATGTGGCATCCTGATCATTATTTTGTGCTTCAACAATCTCCTTTGATGTAGATTTGTCTGGTTAGCAAACGGCAAGCTCTCCCTATAGGCCAACTAGAGTCCATATCAGCACAAAAAAACAACACAAGCATCCTCCTTATGAACTTATATTACCATTCCACTCCTCCATATGAAACAACGCTAGCACACTGCCTTTAATTTTTGGGATTAACTAAACTACATGGAAAGATCAAGTCATTGTTGTCATCCTTTCTCATCTATAACTACTTTTCTAGAACGAATATCTCCTCCAACACAATTGGAGAAATAATTCCAGGATTCAAATTTGCAAGAAATCAGTGTTCAATTACAACAACAAAATGTCAGCCCAATCATAAAGGTCTAATCACAGCAGTGAATATTTTATGTCAGGCACTCATGTATTATAGGAATGCTAGCTGGATTGATGAGATCAAGAACAAATTTGTACATTAGGCTCTCCCATATGAAGGGACCAGGTAAGGATTTGTAGCATAAGAAAATTCACTAATAAAATTTCCTTTAATCTACACCCCCATTCCCTCCTACAGCTAGTCAGAGAAGAAGGCAAATAAAACCCAAGTAATCTCCAGCTTTACTCCAATGAAGATATACTGAACTAAAATGGAGATTACCTTAGCCTGATTGGTTTATACAAATCTCGCCATGCATCCATAGTTCACTGAAATAAAATTTCGAACAAGGCTAAGACTGAAGCTCAACTTCTTTATATAGTATTTTTAAAGTATGAGAATCATAGACTACACAAGAATAAATTATAAAGCCCGGCATTGTCTATTTCATAAAATCCAAGAGAGGGAGAAGACAGCAAATAGAATCATAGCTACCTTGACTGCCTCCGGTAGCTCCTCAAGTCCCTTATCCGCGTGACGCTCGTCAAGCAAAAGCAACCTCGTCGAGCCTCTCCATCTCCCAGTGCGGAACTCAGCGCCCAGCAAACGGCTCATATCATCCTCTCACACTCCCCCATAACTTCCACAACTGCATACGCTTTCTTTTGCTCTCTGTCCTTAACACTAACCCTCTCTCCAATAGCTCCCTTCTTCTTCTTCTTCTTGGGACGCGACATCCTCGCCAAGTTCCGAAACATCAAGAACCCCCGGCAATTGAACTGCTTCGCCAGCTTTTCCCGATATATCACCGGGCTCATAGCCTCCGTCTTGTTATCGGTCTCACCATCTGCGCGACGGGCAAGTGAGACGAGCCGCTGGCCTCCGTCGCCTTCGGCATTGCGGAGAAGGTTTCGAATGTCGGGTTCGAGATCATCGCCGGAGACGCGGGCGATGTTTCGGATACGAGGCCAGTTGAGGAGGTGGCCGCGGAGGCGATCCTCGAGAGTAGAGCATTCAGACGCGGGAATACGGAGGGCGGCGATCTTGAATGTGCGTGTAAAAGAAGAACGGTCGAGATATGAGCTTTCGTCGCATTCAGAGCCATAGCAGCCGCAATCGGAGGAAGTTGGCCGTTGGCCGCGGCGGAGAGAGGGACCGTAGCGGTCAGAATCTGGGGCTAGGGATAGTGTGAGATTGAGCGCTTTGGTGGAATGGGAGGGGAGGAGCGAGGGCTTGCTTGCTGATAGTGAGAACGGAAAGAAGAGGGGAATGGAGCGGAGGGTAAACGCTGAAGTCGCCATGCCATATCTTGCCCTAACCATATGATTTGGTCTACTCCATAAGGTCTTCTTGTAAATAAACAACACAATGCCACAACCGTAGGACCCATTTGGGGGCAGTTATAAGTGGGGCGGCATTCCATACTCTTTGGATTGCATGTTTCTTCAACTTATTTAAAAATAATATTTTGAATTTGTTAAACACGTCGCGGGCCGCATTTTCGTTCGCGTTTTCGGTTCGTATTACTCCTGTGACCCTCCCCACTACTCATTCGCGCATCTCCCAAATCCTAGGCGCTTCTCTACTTGGCCACTTCCAGTCCTCAAGTTCTTCGGCATTTTAGATCCTCCCTCTTCCTCATCCTATAACTGCTTCATTGGTCGCACTGTCAACTTTTAGCTGCGTCAAAGAGAGATTGCAAGCTTTCTTACAATGACGAGTTTTTCAGGTACCAACACTGTAGTGAGATATATATATATATATCAATTGTTGTGGTACATATAGAAATAAAATAAGAGAACGATCTTTGAAGAAATAAAAACTAAAACTAGAAAATTTACACCAGAAAACAGTACCACTGCGGAACACACAGATTTACATGGTTCGGCAAATTGTCTGTGTCCACGGAGTTGCAGAGGATTTACTACATGAAGAGTTTACACCAGTCGATAGTCTCAACTTACAAGAGGAATTTCTCACTTCATTGCTCACTGTTCTTCTCTCTCTGTTCTTCTCTCTCTACACCGAGATACACAGAAGAAACTTTACACCGAGATACACCAAAAAAACTTTACATCGAGAAACACCGAAGAAGATAAACTTACAAGAGAAATAAAACCAATTTCTCTTTTGTCATAAGCCACCAAGAAGAAACCAAGGGAAAAGAATCTTCTTCTTCTTCTTTCTTCCTTCACCGCAAGAAACTACTGCTTCTTGCACTTACCTTCCTCTATCCCGAGGAAGACCGAAGAAGAACACCAAAAACCATGACTTCTCTAAATGAAGGAGAGTCGTCCAAAATCTTTTATCGCGAGAAGGAAGCGGGAGACGTCATTTCGTGAAACAGCAGGGCAATCGGACGAAGTGAAGCTTCGCTTCGCGCTTGCGGGAGTGGTTTTGCAATCGAGCGGGAGCAGGAAGACGACATATGCGATTGGGAGGCGAGAGTGGGAAATCAGATCGGGCTCCATCCTTAACACAACACTCTCTTTATCCCTCTCTCTCTCTCTCTTTCTTCTCTCTTAATTGGGAAGCTTTTGTTTTTTGTTTTTGTTTTTTTTAGATTTGTGGATGATTGGATATTGCGCTGTTGTTAGAATTTCAGAAGTAAAAAAAATATGATTTTGATGCCTTTTTTGTTAGATTTGGATGGCTTTGATGAATTGGTTTGAGTGTTTTGGTAATGGAATCCAGATTGAAGTTCGAGCTTGATTCCTTTATATTGTTCTGCATCAGATTTTGAATATTTTTGTGATCGAAGTTAGTATTTTTCTGTGATCGGATAATTTAAATAACGTCGTAATTGAAAACAAAAACGAAATTGAAGTCAAGAAATCTCCAAACAAATCCTCTGCTTCATCGAAGAAGTCGAAGGAAGCTTTTCGATCCAATATTGACTTTGATACCTCCATGAAATCATGCCCAAAACCTTTTGCAAGAACTACTCCTAAGAAATAGAGAGGTGAAATTGTTGATTCAGCTAAAGATGGACCCGAGTTAGGGCCTTTCCTTCTCAAACATGTTAGAGAATTGATCTCTTCAGACAACCATAAAAGAGCTCTAAAGTATGAACTAATGCCTGAAATTTTAATACTTATTGATCTTGATATTTTTTATATGTAAGGATTTATGAAGTTAACACCACTACTTAAAGATTTTAATGCTCAGTAATTGCACCAAAAACTTGATCTCAAGCAAAGTAAGATTTCAATTATATTTGTAGGGATTCTACGCAAGTATACGTATCATTATCAAGTAATATAAAGCTTTTTGATTAGCTTTTTGATTAAGTCTCGAATATCGATCCCACGGAGATAGAGGTTAATCATTGCGACTTTCAAGAGAAATTCTAGTTTAGAATAACACGCCATAGCTTGGAAGGTCGTTAAAGGTTTGGTTTGATTATATCCTACAATTATCACTACAATACTACTTCTAATCCTAAACTAAAATACTCTGTGAAAATTAGAAAGTGGGGTTTAATATTATAAAAGTATTCTTCTTCATACAATGAAATTAGTGACATGTGTAAAAGTAAAACAAGTAGTGAGAGAGATTGTGACAAATATGAGCAATTATATTCTTTACCCTTACTAGAGATGCTATAAAAAACTTTGGTTAATATAAAGTTTGAATAGTTCTGAAGACGGGCTAGTCAGGGAAGATACTAGCTCTCACACTAGAGTTCACTCTGATCCCTCCACCTGGAGGCTAACATCTCGCATCAAAACCTAAAATAATAGACCAAATTATGGGTTTTAGTCTGTCATTCTAAAGTCCTCTAATTCTACACCCATCAAAGATTATTTATCTATTTATTTGCTCTCAACCATATGGACTGAATTCTCATCCGTACAGTATCATGTGATTCTACAACAGTTGATTGAGACAACACCATCCCGGATCTTACATGTTCTCACAACAGATTTTAACATGCAAGTTGATCAGGTTTACATGTAAATGAAGAACAAAGGAAGAACAAAGTAAAAT